TGAAAGCCGGCTGGATGACTTTAGGCCAATCGCCAGGAGGATGGTGAGTTCTAGTCCTGCCTACGCATGAAAGCCGGCTGGATAACTTTGTGCAGTGCTTCTCTCTTAGCCCAACCATCATACGGGATCGTTGATGGGAAAATAGCAGGAGGAAGAAGGATCAACTATGTTCACCACCTTCAGTTATTTGTAAAAATAATTAAGGCTGGACAGAAAAATAAAATAATAAATAAAGTAAAATAAAATAATATTTTCACTGTTCTGGACCCCTCACTTTTGTGTTACTTTAGCTGTTGTTGAATCTGCTCCACCTGTTGATGGGAAGACAGAAATCTAAACCATAAGATATGAAGGGAATGTGAGTATTGTATTTCTCTTCCCAAGCTTGTTTTTACATCTGCCAATATGCTGTCCTAGATGGATTTCCAGGAAATTCAGAGAGTGACACAGACTGGTCATCTTACAAATTCCTCACGGTTTTTATTTGGGGGGAAAAATGCAGTTCCATCTGAAATAGGAGCTGGCAAGTAGGTGCAAGCAAACAGGAAAATGATAGTGAAACAGAGATCAGGGTCTGTCCTGAGGGAGACCAGGGTTTTACCCTATCTTCTCTTAATTTTCATAGGCCTACCATGGAATATTCAGACATGCAACAGAGCAATTGATCTGTTTTAACCATGGTTTGTGGCTAAAAAGTGCAAGAGATGATGGATAGATGTAGAACATTTTTTTAACATGGTGGTTATTTTATTAAGTGTTGGAAAAAAGAAGTAGAAAATAGAAATTGGGAAAATAGTATTATGTATACTGAAATAGAATATCACATCTACTCGGTTCTGGGCTTTTTTCCTTTCTAACAGCTAGCAAGCTCTAACTGCTAGGTGGGAGACCTAAATAGATCCATTTCTAGCTCGTTTGCTTTCATCAGTAGGCCACACCCATATCTTATGTATCCTCCCTGTAAAGGTACAGTATCAATTTTCTTACTTCTTCGTAGGGTTTATGTGTGTTTTTCTTCTAGCCAGGTTTTCTAGCTGTTAGAAAGGAAAAAAGCCCAGAACCGAGTAGATGTGATTCTACTGAGCTGGAGCTACAAAAAAACCTTGATTACGTAGGGAAAACATGGCTAGAAGAAAAACATATATATATGTATGTATGTATGTATGTATGTATGTATGTATGTATGTATTAAAAAGCATGTTTCTTGAATAAGCCACAAGGATCTAAGTCACGGGTGTCAAACTCGACGCATCACATTGCCGTCATGTAACCTATTGCGATGTTCTTCTCTTCGCGGAGCTGGGATGGGCGTGGCCTGCGCATGACCATCCAGCCCACAGACCGCCAGTTTGACACCTCTGCTCTAAGTCCAAGTTGCTCGACTTCAGCCAGCCACAAGATGTGTGGATTTCAATTCCCAGAATTCTGCAGAGAGCTTGCTGGGAGTTGAATTCTGGGAATTGAAGCCCACACATCTTAACATTGTTCAGGCTAGGGGTCCAGCTCACATATAACAGAACACTGCAAGCAATGATTTGCACGTCCCAATGATCGAGTTTGGACATGACACAGCTCTAAGGCAACATGTGATTTTGCATTTCTGCCTGAGCATGACATACGATCATTTGTTCAGAGGAGAGGAAGAAGAGGAAGTCCAACATGCAATTATGTTTTTTCCTTCAGGTAGTCTTCGACATACACCTGGCCTCTTAGTGACCATTCAAAGTTCTTACTCATCTACCTTGGGAACTATTTACAATCTGGTTCTGAAGTTCGGACAGTCAAACCCCTCCACAGTTACAGGATCAAAGTTCACAACCACAATTATCAACGTTTGCAGCGTACCCACAGTCACATGATTGTGCTTTACAATGACTTTGTTGAAAAAAAACAAAAACCCAATGTTTCTGGTTTTCAGCAGAATTGTGACCACAGTGAGTCAATGGTTTTACTTGCTGTATTTGCTTAACAACAATTGGTAAGTTCACCTATTGACTGCCACAAACAAGGTTGTAAAATTGGGTCATCATATGACTGACCCATTTTATGACAGTCACAATATATGACTGAAATAGGCAGACTCCATTATGATCATACGTTGAAGACTACCCGTATTTTAGTTATTGGAAGCACATTCCACCATCTTCCTGCCTCCAGAAATAATAAAATAAGAATCATGCATAAGAGCATTTGCACTACAGGATCTTTACTTTATATTAAACGCAACTCCCCAAGTCTTCATCTGGGCATTTTGCCATATTCCATAAGTCTATTAAAATAGCACTGATCTGCCAAGTCAGAAGCAAAATCTGAATATCTGGGGCAAGTTAAAACACATTTGCAAGGTCTTTTTAATTCAGTACAGGTAGTTTTCGACTTATATTCACAACTGAGCCCAGAATTTATGTTGCTAAATGAGAAATTTTTTAAAGTGAGTTTTGCCCCATTTAATGACTTTTCTTGCCACATTTGTTAAGTGTGAAGTGAACCATTGTAGTTGTAAAATTAGTAACATGGTTGTTAAGCGAATCTGGCTTCCTCACTGACTTTGCTTGTTACTAGGTCACAAAAGGTGATCACATGACCTCAAGACACTGCAACCATCATAAATACCTGCCAGTTGCCAAGCATCTAAATTTTGATCATGTGACCATGGGGATGCTGCAATGGTCACAAGTATGAAAAATGGCCATGTCACTTTTTTCAGTGACGTTGTAACTTTGAACAGTCACCAAATGAACTGTTGCAAGTCGAGGACTACCTGTATTTAGAGGGTTTTGCTCCTTTTTTTCCCCACACTGACAAAAGGAAAGAGCGCTGCAAGAGATGTTCCAACCGCACAATGCTGAAAGACTTCAACACTTACCAAGACCATCTTTAAAATCATGAACTAAAAACATCTATAAAACTCACAAGGCGGGCTAAAGACCTCCTTTGGTATCTATAGTGGTTTTCATGCAACTGATTAATCCAACATGAACAGGCCCCTGCTTTATCTGAATGAAACACGCAGAGGATGCCTAACCGTTTTAGAAACGATATCAAAGCACGGGAGGAAAAGATGCAGACAAAGTTGCTAATTCCGGACACAACACGGCTCCGTCCAGGCTGGGGACAATGAATTTCCAGCAAAGACATCATTAAGCATTCAGGAGTCAGTTTAAAAAGACAAAACCGGAAGGCTTTGGATACCTATTGTGATGAGCTCACGCAGTTAAGTGAGTTTGGAAATAGATGAAATTGAATAGACAAGCTGTCTTAATTTATACCACAGCTTAAGCCTGTGGCTGTTAAGTTGATGAACTGTGGTGTTTAAAAATGAAAGAAAGGCAATTAAAAAAAACGCTCTTGATTACGAAGAATCTATAGAGAAACTCTGTTATAAACCTGAAATGTACAAAGCTGGTTTTGATAGGGAGGGAGGGAGGGAGGAAGAGAGAGGAAAAGAGCCTTGGTAGTACAGGGGTTTAAGGCACCCTGTTATTAAGCTGGTTATTAAGACCAGCTGCCTGCAATTACTGCAGGGTTCGAATCTCGCCAAGGCTCAAGGTTGACTCAGTTCTAAAGTAGGTAAATTGAGGACCCAGTTTGTGGGGGCAATAAGCTGACTTTGTATAAATATACAAAAGGATGAAGGCTATTGCTGAGCACATTGAGCCGCCCTGAGTCTTCGGAGAAGGGCGGAAATCAAATTAAAAAAAGAGGGAAGGAGGGAAAGAAAGAGGAGGGAAGGAAGGAAGAAGAGGAAAATAGGGAAAGAAAGGGAAAAGTAAAAGTAAAGGAGGAGGCGGCAGAGAGGCAAGGAAGGAAGGCACCACCCAACAGGAAAATTCTGACTGGGGAAAGTTAGTCCTCAAGTCAGAAGCACTAAAGCACTATTCACACATCCAATTAAATCCCTGGATGTTTAATTATTGCTTGCTGAACAAACCACAATGGGTGTGGCACAAACATCACAGTAAACCCTAGATCATGGAACAGTATCAGTTCACCAGCACTTGGAGCCATTAGCAAAGGCAAGATTCGAATCCAGGATTCCAAGGCCAGACCCCATTTTTTTCCTTTCCCCCATAGCTTACCTTCCCCTCTCTTGAGAGAGATAAACAAAATCTGAACCTCTGCCCTCCATTAAAACATTTTCCAGCTGAGCTGTGATTTTGCTCAAGCATCCCACACAGCCAAACATCAGCAGGGCTCCCTCCTCTAACAAACATTGTTTAAATGACAGAGAGTGAGAGAGAGAGGAAGGTCTAGAAACTATGAGGCTCTGTTAGAAATCGAGAGTTGTGTATGGCCTGAAAATTACTATAACAGAAGCTAAGAGGTGCAGTGCAGTCCTCCATGCCAAAGAAAAGACGGCTGCACAAAACCCCTCAATCTGTTCCAAATTCACCAAAGGGAAACTGAGGCAGAAATGGGCTGTAGAAAAAGGAAGAAAGACAAAAAGGCTGCAGCAAATGTGTTTCTCTCGGATCAGCGGTGGGGAAAATATGGCTTCTTTACAGCCTGTGAACTTCAATATTTTTGTATTTTTAATTTTGGGCCAAATTTATATATATTTTAATTGTTTTTTAATATTTGTATTTCATGTTTTTTAATTCTGGCTGTACACCGCTCTGAGTCCTCAGGGAGAAGGGCGGTATATAAATTTAAAATAAAATAAAAATAAAATAAAATAAATTCCCAGAATTCCTGAGAGTTCTGAGAATGGCTGGCTCAGGAATTCTGGGAGTTGAAGTCCACGGGACATAAAGGGTATATAGTTCCCCACCCCTGCATTAAGTGATGTCCTGGTAGCAGAGCACAGTCTCAAAATAACCACCGCTCAATCCAGAGTGAGCAGTTGGGAATATTTACACGGAGAAACGCCGTCCAACACTCAATATGTTTCCCTCCCTGAATTGGGAAAGGAGACACGTATTCAGTTGAATCTACTTAGTCAGACAATCTGCAGCTCTGCATTTCTTTGGGCTCTCTCCAAAGGTTTGATGGATACTCACCGGCAATCTGGACCGACCCATCTTCTCCCAATAGGATATTGCCAGCTTTCACATCCCTAGGAAAAAGGAAGGAAGGAAGGAAGGAGGGAGGGAGGGAGGGAGGGAGGGCAGGAAGGAGGGAAGGAAGGAGGGAGGGAGGGAAGAAAGAAAGAAAGAAAGAAAGAAAGAAAGAAAGAAAGAAAGAAAGAAAATAGGAAGGGAGGGAGGGAGAGGGAGAGAAAAAGAGAAAGAGAAAGAAAATATAGCCATGAGTATGGATGCAGATTCTGTGTTTCCTTCCCATTGCGGCAGTCAAAACCAATGCATTCCTAAGGCAAAGTCAGCACCTCAAAAAAAGGACTTATGACTTGGGTATGCATTTATGACCGTTGCAGCATCAAAATTTGGGTGTTTGGTAACCGGCAATGGACAGGCAGTCCTCAACTTACAACCATTCGTTTAGTGACCATTTGAAGTTACACCGGCACTGGAAAAAAATCATATTTATGACGGTTGCATATCTCTGGGCCATGTGATCCCCTTTTGCAACCTTCTGACAAGAAGAGTCAATGGGGAAGCCAGATTTAGACTTAGACTTAGAATAACTTTATTGTCACTTTGAATCAGGGTGGATTTGATTTAAATCAAGTTGATTTAAATCACAATTTAAATCACGATTTAAATCGCTAGTAAAAAGGCTTGATTTAAATCAACTCGATTTAAATCATAATTTTTAAAGAGCAACTGTCATCTCTGCTACTCCTTTGACCCACTGTTAACTCACCGATAGTCCCAGTGTTGCAGAATATACAGCCTCATGCTACATAACGAAGCTCCATTTCATGCTGAATAAACTAAATTATTTATGTATCTTAAATAGAAAACTATCTTACCATAGATTTTTACCCCAAAAGTTTTTTATTAAAATAAATTCGATAAAAATCAAAAAAATCCGATTTAAATCAAAAAAATCTGATTTTTTAAAAAAAATCATGGATTTTTATCCACCCTGCTTTGAATGTACACTAATCGGCATACGTTAAAATGAAATTTCATTGCATACAGCTCTCAAAGGGTCTCCGCCTCTAATATTCAAACACTTAACAAGGTTCACTTAACAACCAGGTTACTAACTTAAAGACTGCATTGATTCACTTCACAATTGCGGCCAGAAAAGTTGTACAATGGGGCTAAAGTCACTTAACAACGGTCTCGCTTAGCAACGGAAATTTTGGGTTCCATGGTGGTCGAGGGCTAGCTGTACCCTCCAAGCCAGGGGTGGGTTCTAATTTTTTTTACTACCGGTTCTGTGGGTGGGGCTTATTTTGTGGGCGTGGCCTGATGGTCATGTGACAATTCTTTAGGATTTAGCAGAGGTACTGGTCTACCAGGCTTTTAACTGCTTGCAGAGCTGTTCTGATCTACTCATTTGTTTTTGCTGTTTTTGGAGGCATCGGTCTACCACTACACTGCCTTTTAACACTGATCAGCTATAGTGTGGCCCTTTGAAGCCCCGCGGCAAGAGTTTAAACAGGTTTTTTCCTTCTAGCCAATCAGCTGGGACTTGGGAGGCAGCGAATAGATTGGGGGCGGGGCCAAATAAAAGATAAGAATAACACGGGGCAGGCGGGAGGGCCCCGCTCCCAAACAAAGAGAACCGGTTCAGTGACATCATATTGTCACCGCTACTCAGCCGGACTGGACCGAACCGGGAGGAACCCACCACTGCTCCAATCCAACAAAAAAGAATGGATTTGGGGCAAATCAGTTGTGACTTTGAAGATGAAGCTGCCAAATGGAGGTTTCTACACCTTGGAAAATCTCCATGATTTCTCCGGCTGCTACCAAAACAATTATCTCAGTATAAATGTTTGCCAGGTATTAAGCAACCTTCCCCCTGCCTTTGGCAGAAAGCTGTCCAGGGAAGGCTATGCTTGAAAACCCAAGTCGGGCCAAGGTCCAGAGTTCAATGGATGAATGGGGTCAGTTGTCTTAACAACTATGTTTCCTAATACGTTTGCAAGAGCAAACTGGAGGGGTCAATCTTTAAAACAAGCAACAGCTCATCCTCGACTTATGACCACAATTGAGCCCCAAATTTCTGTAGCTACGTGAGAAATTTGTGAATTTTGCTCCCATTTTAAGACTTTTTTTTTTTTGCTACACTTGTCAAGTGAATCACTTCAGTTGTTAAATGAGTAACATGGTTGTTAAGTGAATCTGGCTTCCCCACTCAAAAGGGGAATCACCTGACCCTGGGACACCGCAACCGTCATCAATACGAATCACTTGTCAAGCATCTAAATCTAAGTCATGTGGCGGTATGTGTGTGTGTGTGTGTGTGTGTGTACTGCAACAATCATAAGTGTGAAAAATGGCAAAGCTGGCTGAGGAATTCTGGGAGTTGAAGTCCACAAGTGTACTTCACAAGTGGACTATGGGAAACAGAAGCGTGGACTTCAACTCCCAGAATTCCCTAGTCAGCATGCTGGGAGTTGAATCCTGGGAGTTGTTGAGAAACAATGTACAGTACAAGTAGTCCTCAACTTACAACAGTTCATTTAGTGACCATTTGAAGTGAAAAAAGCAACCTATGGCTGTTTTTCACACTTACAACCGTTGCCGCATCCCCGGGGTCACGTGACTAAATTTCAGACACTTGGCAACAGACTCATATGGTTGCAGTGTCCCAGGGGGGTCACGTGATTCCCCTTTTGTGACCTTTGGACAAGCAAAGTCAATGGGGAAGCCAGATTCACTTAACAACTGGGTTACTAACCACACAACTGCGGTGATTCACTTAACAATTGTGGCAAGAAAGGTTGTAAAAAGGGGGCAAAGTTCGCTCAACAACTGTCTCGCTTAGCAATGGAAACTTAAGACTCAATTGTCATAAATTGAGGACTACCTGTACTAGAGGAAGTTTTAAGCCCGTGATGGTGAACCTATGGCACGCAAAGCCATATCAGGGGGCATGCAAGCTCAGCTCCGGTGTGCCAGCTAATTTTTGGGTCTTCTGGGCCCACCAGAAGTAGGGAAACAGAGGGCCTGGGGTGGGGGGAGAAGGCCCATTTTTCTTTCTCACCTGGCTCCAGGGCCTCTCTAGGAGTCTGGGAAGGGCGAAAATGTCCTCCTCTCCCCCCGGAGGTCCTCCGGAGGCCGAAAATGGCCGTTTGACAACTTCCGTTCTCACCAGAAGTTGTCAAAAGGGCCGTTTTTGCCCTCCGGAGGACCTCGAGAGGGGGGGGAGGCTGTTTTCGCCCTCCCCAGACTCCTAGAGAGGCCCTGGAGCTAGGTGAAAAAGAAAAACGGACCTACCGGGCCATTACGTGCCAGGAACGTGGTGAGTCACACGCACATGCGTGGGGGCGGGCCGCATAGAATTATGGGTGTGGGCATGCACACTAGCAACCCCCCCCCCAGCCCCACTTGGCACGCAATGGCAGAAAGGTTAGCCATCACTGTTTTAAGCTATAAAAAACCCACAAAAATTCTGGATTTTTGTCTGCGGAATTTAATGATGCACTTGGTGTTTCCCAATGTTACTAGAACAGAGATTTCAAAGAAGATTGCTAACCTGGCTTCCTTGGACCTCAACAAGTGGCACGACCTAACTGACCTTGGATAATTTTTAATTAAGCAGGATTAATACTCGGTTAATACTCGGATAAAAGACTACCAGGAACCAATCAGAATACAGCCGGAAGGGACCTTTAAGGTCATCTAGTCAAACCCTCTCCTCGAGCAGGAGACTCTGTACCATTTCAGACAAATGGCTGTCCAGTCTTCTTGAAACCTCCAGTGATGAAGCACCCACAACTTTTGGAGGCAAGCTGTTCCATTCATTAATTGTTCTCACTATTAGAAGTTTCTCCTTCATTCCAGGTTGCTTCTCTCCTTGATTAGTTTCCATCCATTGTTCCTTGTCTTGCCTTCAGGGGCTTTGGAGAATAGATGGACCTCCTCATCGATGTGGCAGCCCCTCAAATATTGGAACACTGCTATCATGTCATTCCTGGTCTTTTTACTGTTATCTGACAATAAGTGGAAGATTAATGTGAACTGAAGAAGGGAAAAAAAGACCCAAAGAGCTGAATAGGAGTCTTCATAGGGCCACTTCCCATCACTGGTTTTAAACGTTCAATTCTTGGCAACTTTTATGTGCCACAATCCACTGCTATACTTTGTCTTGGCCAATGTCCCTCGCAACCAGCTAGTGGAAAGTGTGAAAAAATGCCCACCAACTAGTGTTTCAGGTCTATTTTTGTTCTTCCTTAGATTTGCTTTTTACCATGAAAAAAAAAAAACCCAACAACATGTAAAACACACCGTAAAGGTTATGCCAGATTATGTTTGACAATGACAAAGAAGCGGAACGAATCTGCTTATGGCCTTGTTCCGCACCATCTCACATTGCAAATGACAAGGGTGGTGTGGATGGATTGAGGACAATTGTCTTCAGAGCACTGAGAGATTCCATTCCTGAAGGTGAAGTCCTTTATACTCCCCATGCTTCAAGGACAAGAGAGTGTCCATATCAACGAGTCAAGATTCCCATTATCCAAAGGACATCCAAAGCTGTTTAGAAGACCCCCCCACCCCCCAAAGGCCACAAAATGGTGCACTACATCAATTCAAACTACGTTCCAACTCAAGATGGCTTAGGGCCCGGTTATTTACAAGACCACCTTCTGCCACCGATAACCTCCCACTGGCCAATACGCTCCCACAGAGAGGGTCTCCTCAGGGTGCCGTCGGTTAGGCAATGTCGGCTGGCGACCCCCCTGGGGAAGCGCCTTCTCTGTGGGGGCACCCGCCCTCTGGAATGAGCTACCCCCAGGGATACGACTGATCCCGGACCTCCGGACCTTCCGCCGGGCCCTGAAGACTTTTTTATTTCAGCAAGCCAGGCTGGGTTAAAAATCTTTTAATTGGGGAATTTTATGGGTAAGGGGTTTTAAATTGAGGAAGCCAAAGATAAATTTAATTTCGTTTTATAGTATTTTAAGGTTTGTATTGTGTCTTTTTAATTTTGGCTGTTCACCGCCCCGAGTCCTTCGGGAGAGGGGGCGGTATAAAAATTTAAAAAATAATAATAAAATAAATAAATAAATAAAAAGATGTGGTTTCTTTAGAAATTGGTGCAACACGCAAATCAAGGCATCATGGCTTGTTCAACAAAGTGGGGTTAGAATCTGTTGTTGGCTTAGGACTGTTGGTGAAAATGGTCTCCTTGCTGATTGGACACTTTCAAGGCAGACTTTCTCATCTTCTGTGATGTTTTAAAGAGGCATCGCTTGTGATGTATCTTTGAAGCTTTTTTAAGGAATACAGTGCTGGTTCCTTTTTTTGGCAAGAATAGCCAACACTCCATAAGACAAGCTCAGGATCCAAAAGGATCTTGACAGACCTGAGCCCTGTTTAACAAAATGAAATTCAATGGTGAAAAAAGTAAGGTTCTGTGTTTAGAGAAGAAAACCCAAATGTACCGGTATAGTACAGGTGATACTTGGCTCAACAGAAGTAACTGTGAGAGGGATCTTGGAGTCCTAGTGGACAACCATTTAAATAGGAGCCAGCCGTGTGCAGCAGCTGCCAAAAAAGCCAACACAGTCCTAGTCTGCATTAACAGAGGGATAGAATCAAGACCATGTGAAATGTTAATACCACTTTATAATGCCTGGGTAACATCACACTTGGAATGCTGCATTCAGTTTTGGTCGCATTCAGTTTTTATTGATATAAAAAAGATGTTGAGACTCTGGAATTTGTGCAGAGAAGAGCAACAAAGATAATTAAGGAACTGGAGGCTAAAACATATGAAGAACAGTTGCAGGATTTGGGCATGCCAAATTGGGTGAAAAGAAGGAGGAGGGGTGACATGATAGCAGTTTTCCAATATCTAAGGGGCACAAAGAAGAGGGGGTCAAACCTATTTTCCAAAGCACCAGAAGGCAGAATAAGGAGCAACGGATTGAAACTAATCAAGGAGAGAAACAACCTGGAACTAAAGCTAAATTTCCTGACAGTGAGAACAATTAATCAGTGGAATGACTTGTTTCCAGAAGTTGTGAGTGCTTCAACCCTGGAAGTTTTAAGAGGAGCTTAGACATTTGTGTGAAGGTGTAGGGTTTCCTGCTTGAGCAGGGGGTTGGACTAGAAGACCTCCAAGGTCCCTTCCAACTTTGTTATTCTATTATTCTGTTACAGGGGCTCAATGTTCAACTCCAAAAAACAGAACAGAAATTCAGAGCTGAGATGAAGACTGTGGTACTCACTTAACAGGAAAACCTGCTGCTGTAGGATCACAGCTTGGAAAGAAGTGATTCCTTGTCCCTCTAAACCTCATAATCACATTAAGTGATTTAACTGTGCCAATTTAGATTTCATTTAATTGGCAGCAGCAGAGCTGTCAATCAACACCAGGTTTCAATTCAGTTCCAGCATGTTGTGGTCTTGAATCAACATCAAGAGAGCACAAGCCAAGCTCTGTGTTACGGTGTCTTAATCTTCTTTTGGCACATTTTATTCATCCTGGATTTCTCCTTTTATGATCCCAAAAGCAAGTAGGTAAGTAAATAAACCAAAAGACCTCCTCCACCAGGCACCAGCACCCAGATCAGCATAAATTAACTCCAAGATTAACATTAGACCAACGATCAAGTAAACAACACCCCAATCACGAAACTGCCAAAGATCCAACAGCCCAACCAAAAAACCTCTGAGACCGTCCCCCACCAACACTGACAGGCAAGCCACTAGATAGAATATACACCGACAGCAAACCACACTCCTTACTATAGCAGTGATGATGTTACCTAGTTTGGGTAATGAAATGTCTGCAAGAGAACAAGCAAGCTCAAAGAGCACCAAGGACCCCTCAATCAATGAAAAGGCTTGCCTCCAGAAGCTACGGATGCTCCAACACCGGAAGTTCTTAAAAAGAGATTGGGCAACTATTTATCTGAAATGGTACAGGGTCTCTTGCTTGAAAGAAGGAGAACAGCTCAAACAGGTCCCTGGAATGTTGGAAGTGCGGCCATAACCAAGGAACATTCTACCACATGTGGTGGACCTGCCCTGAGATTAGGAAATTTTGGTGGAAGATAAAAAAGTGGAAGTGTGACTGGATGAAAAATAAGAAAGAAAATCGGAACTATTGCTCCTGGGTATTTTGGAAGGGAAAATGGAAAAAAAATTACAATACATATATTACATATCCTAACTGTGAGTAGAATTGTCATAGCACAAAATTGGAAACAAGCGGATATTCCCCCAGATCAAATTATAATTAAAAAAATATACGAATGCGCAGAAATGGACAGATTATCTATGGACATTAAGAAAAGGGAAGATACCGAGTATTATTTAATTTGGAATAGATGGTATTCCTGGCTTGAGAGTAAATTTAAAATGTAAGTGATATTTTGTCATGAAACCGAATTGTGAATAAAAGTTATTATAACTTAGATAAAGATGTAAGTTAAGATAGTGATAGATAGGGAAAAGGAGGGGAAGAAAAGGGAGGGGAAAGAGGAGTAGAGGAGAAGGTTAGAAGGGGGGAAGAAGAGAGAAGTGGGGGAAGAGAAGGGAAAGTAGGAAAGAGAAGGAGAGGAAGAATGAAGGAAGTAAGAGGAGAGAGAGGAAGGAAGAGAAGGGGAGGAGAAGAAGAAAGGTTGGAGTAAAGGTAAAGGGTAAAAATTGAGTCCCTCGGGAGAAGGGTGGTATATAAATATAATAAACTAAACTAAACTAAAAGAGCAGCCCCGAAAAAGTAAAAATGAAAAATGAAAGTTAAAAGAAAAGATGAAGATGAAAAATGATGGAAATGACTATACATGTAAATGTGTTTATGAGAAATAAAAATAAAAAACTTTATTTAAAAAAAAGATAGTGATAGATAGAAGTAGGATTTGTGTATGGAAGTTAATTAGGATAGAGATACCGATGTAGAAAAGCTGTTACTAGTGTTTGAGTTTCGTTGTGTTTGTTTTTGTTGTGTTATGGTTTTCTATTTTTTGCTCTTTTCTATTTTTTGTACTGTGTATTTTAATGTTTGAAAATTCAATAAATATTTATTTTTTTTAAAAAAGAGAGAGAGAAGAACAGAGTTGGAGTCCAAGTATTTTAAAACTGCTGAGGTTGGAGACCTGTTTTAAACCACAGGTCTCCAACTTTGGCAACTGTAAAAATTGTGGAATTCAAGTCTCTGGGAGTTGAAGTCCACAAGTCTTAAAGTTGCCAAGGTTGGAGATCACTGGTTTAAACCATCACTTTTCTTTCTTCCAATGAAGGAAGCTCAAAGCTCCAAGATTTTCCCAGCCTTCCTGGGAACCCAAACTATGTAGGATCAGGGGTTTCAAACTCAGTCGTGTGGCGGGTCAGATCATGATGTATCACGATGTTTTTTTTGCCTTTGTGGAGCTGGGTTGCGTATGGCTTGCACGGGCTGTATCCGGCTCGTGGGCCGCCAATTTGACAGGCCTGATGTAGCATTTTCAGATTGAGAGAGGCTACTGCAAGGCAGTTTTAAACATTGTTCATTCTTAAGCTTCCCAGAATTAAGGTTCAGCCATGCAGGAGCTAATCATAAAGAGACTGGCATCTGATGAAAAAGGATCACTTGTTTCCTGACAAGTCAATCATGAATCCCACAATTCACTGGCAGCCAATCAGAAAGTGATGCACCTGATGGAAGATGCTGCAACCTCAACAAATTGTCTGCCCTTGTCATACAACTAATGCTAGTGTTAGTGGGAAAAGGTTGCCACCAAATCCTTCCTGACATTTTTGAAACCAGAGACTAACACGGCTGTGTATTGCAGCTGTCAATCTTGCCCGTTTCCTTACTGGCAGAAGTCATTCTATGTCTTCAGTCATCAATAAGCACAAAGAGATAAACCACATTTATACACCATTCAAAAAAGGCAATAAAAACCCAGGAAGGAAACAAAAAGACTAGAACACATTGTTCCCAGCAGCCAATGCCCAGGTAAACAGGGATTAACATCAGACAAACAGACAAACAAGTAGGGGAGATTGCAGCTGGGAATTCAGAGCTCTGGTTCTTTATGGATAGGAAAAACACGGAAGCATCAGCAATCTGAAGCAATGCATCTGAGACCCACCTGTGGATTTGCCCATTTTTATGCAGGTACTCCAGTCCTTCCAAAACTTCCTTGAGGATTGTGGCTATTACAGGCTCATCCAGGACTCCATTCTTATGTTCTCCTTTGGCTACAATGTGCTTGATCACATCCAGAACAGAACCTGTATCAATAAGGGGAAAAGGTTTTATTAAGTGAAAGAAAGAAGATTCTTCTGATAATTTTTCTCCACTGACACCAAATTTGATACTGCTGCTGCTAGACCGACAGGTTTGTGCATTGTCTTGATTTTAATCACTTTTGCTGAAGCAGGTGCTTGGCTTGCACACACAACCCTAAAATCAAACTGTGGTTTATAAACTTCAGGTAGTCCTCAACTTGTTTAGCGACCATTAGAAGTCACAACAGCACTGAAAAGTGACTCAGAACCAGACCTTTCACAAGCTTCACATCACACACACCCCAGTCACATGATCAAAATTTGGTTGTTTGGAATCCAAATGCATGGAACCGCAATGGCATAGTGGTTAGAATGCAGGCTTCTGACTGCCGTTGGACTGCAATTTGGCAGATCGAATCTCACCAGGCTCAAGGTTGATCCATCCTTCCGAGGTAAAAAGAGGAGCCAGATTGTTGGGGGCAATAGGCTGACTCTGTAAACTGCTTAGAGAGGGCTGTAAAACACTGTGAAGCGGTATGCAAGTCCAAGCGCTATTGTTATTTATTAGTTATGACGTCCTGCAGTCATGTGTTGTCATTTGCAACCTTCTCAGCCAACTTCTGATGAGCAGAGTCGATGGAAGAAGCGGGATTCCCTTAATAACCCTATGATTCAGTTGAATAATAAGAGTTAGAAGGGGCATTGGAGGTCTTCTAGTCCAACCCCCTGCTCAAGCAGGAAACCCCATACCATTCCAGACAAATGACTGTCCAATCTGTTCTTAAAATCCTCCAGTGATGGAGCATCCATAACTTCTGGAGGCAAGTTCTTCCACTGATTCTAACTGTCAGGAAATTTCTCCTTAGTTTTAGGTTGCTTCTCTCCTTGATTAGTTTCCACCTGTTGCTTCTTGTCCTGCCTTCAGGTGCTTTGGAGAATAGCTTGACTCCCTCTTCTTTGTGGCAGCCCCTGAGATATTGGAACACTGCTATCATGTCATCCCTAATGATTCTTTTCACTAGATATCCAATTCTTGCAACTGTTCTTCGTATGTTTTAGCCTCCAGTCTCCTAACCCTCTTTGTTGCTCCTCTCTGCACTCTTTTTAGTCATGCCACCCCTAGTCCTTTTTTTCATTAAGCTAGACATATCCAATTCCTGAAACCATTCCTCATATGTCTTAGTCTCCAGTCCCCTAATTAAAAAGGTCAGAGAATCAGACCGTGACACACTTAGCAACACCTTGTTTAGCATTGGAAATTCTGGTCCCAATTGTGATCATAAGTCAAGGACTATCCGTACAACAGCTGGATTCATGGTTCTCCCTAAACCAGAATCGAACAAGTCAAGTGATAGCTTAGTAAAGATATGGGTAACATGGATCTCAGGTTGCAAGCACCACTAATCTACATTTGCTCCCTATATAAAAACGGTATTATTAAGGCTTCACATAGCATTTACTGTCAAACACCTGGACAGCACAAGAGGAGGGAATCTTTAGAGCAGGGGTGTCAAACTCGATTTCATTGAGGGCCGCATCAGGGTTGTGTTTGACCTCGGTAGGGTGGACGTGGCCAGGGTGGGCATGGCCAGTTTGACCTAACTCGTGTTGGGGGGAACCTGTGGTGGCCCGAGCACTCTGCCAGCGAAAACAGGCTCCCGAGCTCCACTGGCTGCAACGGCTTCCTGCAACCCTCTTCCAGCGAAAATGGAGCTCGGGAGAGCTGTCCGCGGGACTCCCAAGCTCCGGGTTTGCTGGCAGGGGCACCACTGGCTGGTCCTTTGCTCTTTCCAGGGTGGCCCCGCAGGCCAGATCTAAGCCCCTAAGCCTTGAGTTTGACACCCCTGCTTTAGAGGAATGCCAGGTTGACAAAGAAAAATATCCTTCTCATTCTTTCCAAACTTTTCAATGTGAAATTTAAATATTTCTCGTGCAGAGAGATTAGGCAACATTCACTAAGTTACTAAACCTTTCACCTTTTTCTAACATTTAAGGTAACGTAGCTTGCACTGTTTAGACATCCCGCTGCTCTAATCTGTGTATTTTGACATAATAAGTCTACCATTACTGCTCCTAAATCGAACGTTGGTAACAGTAAAAAGGTTTGCTGAAAGATTTTGGAAGCTGAATCATCACCTTCAAAATTGTTTTTTTTTTTAAATTATATTAAAGCCCTAAACAAAAAACCAGAAAACTTGCAACCATGGCTGAATTGAGGTAGTCAATTAAAGCCACAGGGTGTATGAAGAAGCATGTTCAGGCTTGTTATAGATGACCTGACAGCTAAAATCCATTCAACTACGCCTTATTGAAAATTAAGATTTAAAAGTATTTATCTTGATGGCTGCTTAAGCCCAAGTGACAGCCTAAGAATAGCCAACTTAAAATAGACCTATTACAAGGGATATTTTTTGCGTGGTTTTAAAATTGTTTTCTGCCTTACATTCCAGAAATAATACTTTCAAGACCTTTTCCATTACAGATTAATTTCCTCCTAAAAACACTGACCAGGTTAATTAACCCACTTCTCCCTCAAAACAAACAGATGTATATTAGCTCTAAAAACTGCACATGTACAGGTAGTTCTCAACTTAACAACAATCCATTTAGTGACTGTTCAAAGTTACAAAGGCACTGAAAAAAGTGACTTCTGACCATTTTTCACACTTACGACCATGGTCACATGATCAAAATTCAGACACTCGGCATCCGGTTCATATTTATGACGGTTGCCGTGCCTAAGGGTCATGATATTCCCCTTTTGCGACCTTCTGACAAGCAAAGCCCAACGGGGAAGCCATATTCACCTAACAACGACGTTATTAACTTAATAACCGCAGCGATTCACTTAACAACAGTGGCAAGAAAAGTCATAAAATGGGATAAGTTCACTTAACAAATGTTTCATTTAACAACATAAGTTGTGGGCACAACTGTGGTTGCAACATGAGGACTACCTATATTAATGGAACGAACGTGAGTATGAAAGTGACTTGAGAACACAGGTAGTCCTTGGCTTACGACCAGTCACATAATAAATGAAGTTATGCCAGATTGCCCCCAAATTCCAATAACTGTCCCTTCTGTGGTGACATGACTGTATTTTGGGTATTCTGCAACTGGCTCACATTTACAGCTGAGTCCCATGACTGAAATTTATAATGTTTTTTTATCAGAAACCGGGATTTATTTCCAGTTTTCAGCAAAAAACTGGACTATAGAGATCAATGGGTTTATGTAATGACCACAGGGTTTGCTTAAAAATAGCAGCAAAAAAAGGTTGCAAAAAAATCAGTTCAGTCATGGGATGGTCTGCTTTAGGACCATCATGACTGTAATTGCTCCATTTTGGTCGTTAAGACGAGGACATTGTGTATAGTACTTTGTGGCTGCTATAAAAAGTAGCTGATTTCCTCCTTAGGGTTATTTGGGAGATGAAAATAACAATGCCAGCAAAGTCGGTTTCCTTATATAATATATAGTATCAGTTAGACCAATCTTAGAATCTGACGCATGCTTCTAGTTGTTAGAAGTTGCTGAATAAGTTCAAAATAATTTAGTAGAGCTGGAAAAAAGTTAAACAAAAATGGCATTATGCCAATGCTTCCCAACTGTGGCAATTTTAAGATGCATGGCACTCATCTTCCGGAATTCCTCAACAAGTTTCTGGCTGAGAAATTCTGGGAGTTAGAAGTCCATACATGTTAAAGTTGCCATGGCTGAGATAATGGTTTGCATCAGGACTAAAAGAGTCACATCACTTCCATCCAGTGTTTCCCAATTTGGCCACTTCTACATGTGTACACTTTAGCTCCCAGAATCCCCCTGCCAAAATCTTTGCTGCTGGGAATTCTGGGGTTTGAAGTCATTGTATGAAGACATTTTTTTAACTCAACCATTACTCTGTGTGGGTATTTATTGTGCCTGGTTTTCTTTAGAATTTCCTTTACTGCTGATGGGTGCTCTTTGTAATTCTGTTTTGCTATTTTAAGTTTCTTAAGGAGGGAATGCAAGCTGACCTGAGTTTCTCTGGATGAGAGTGGCATATAAACCCTAGTAAAGAAACAAGTTTACCTGAAAGAGGAGAGGTTTTAATCTGGCAAGAACCATTTAGAGTGGTTATTTATGTACTGTATTAAAAAGACAATAAATGTAGTGTCTTCACAGAAATTGCCAACAGGATCAGTAACGTGTTAATACTAAATCTAGATTTTCCCCCCCCAGATATTTTCAATCATCCAGTTTAGGATGCTGGAGGAATAACAGAAGCTGTGGCAAATGTGCTATTTAGAAGGGGTTTTAGTATACATACAAAGACCTACATATGTATATGTATATGTATATGTATATGTATATGTATATGTATATGTATATGTATATGTATATATATATTTATTAAAGGTATTATTGGTTCCAAAGCATCGAAGATATTCTGAAGCTGCCACAAAGAGGACAGTTAAAATTCCTTCCTCCCTCCCTTTTTCTGTCTGCCTGCCTGCCTATCAATCTGTCTTTCTCTGACACACATGCTGTGTGAATAACCAGCATTGTCAAAGAGAGAAATGTTTACACCGCTGACTCCTGTAAAAATCCCTTAAAAGGCCCATTTGCTCACCTTACGCATTAATAAAATTGCTAGCTAGGCTTCAGTTCTGAAAGGAAGGGAAGGAGAGCTAATTGTGCATCACTTTAGCATAGAGGTCTTCAAACTTGGTAGTACAGTGGTTTAATGCACCCTGTTATTAACACAGCTGCCTGCAATTACTGCAGGTTCAAATCTTACCAGGCTCAAGGTTGACTCAGCCTTCCATCCTTTCTAAGGTAGGTAAAATGAGGACCCAGTTTGTGGGGGCAATAAGCTGACTTTGTATAAATATACAAAAGGATGAAGGCTATTGCTTAACGCATTGTAAGCTGCCCTGAGTCTCCGGAGAAGGGCGGCATAGAAATCAAATAAAAAAAAAAAAACTTGGCAGCTTTAAGACTTGTGGACTTGAACTCCA